AAAGAAGACAAGATATAACAGATAGAAAAATCTCAAATGAAAAACAATCCTGGACCTACGTAAAAGACCACCTGTTGAGCAATACAAGATACTGCAGTCAGGCTGTCAGCAAGTTTAAACCTGATTTGAATCCTGCTTTTTCACTGTCATCAGTCAGCTGGAGGAATGAAGCAGGTAGGGGCCAAAGCAAGGACCAGATTGTGAAAGGATTTTAGGTGCCTTCACATGCAGTTAGGCACCCATCAGGACTTTACAAGTTTCTGTGCAGTAGAAACCAATTTCACTGAGCTGCTGAACACCTTTAGGATTGTGGACAAGGGTGATCCTAAAGCCATATGCAGGAACTGAGTTGTAAAAGCTGTAAAACTGTGTTTCCTGATCCCAGAAACAGCAAGGAAAGTGTCAAATCAGGAAGGCCAGAGGAATCCCAGATGGCAAAGGAATCTGCAGGGTGCAGAGGGAAGTCCTGCTGCTCTGCCAAGCAGGAGCAGTTTGCTGCCCTGCCCTCCTATTTATCTCAAACTCACCATTTGCTTATTATAAACATTGTTGAGTCAAATGTGTTGTTCAGGAGAGAAGAATTTGATCTACTTGCAGTAAGAATTTGTCACCTGAGAGGTGTCTGAATTCCTCCCTGGATTCATTTGCATGTTTTACCAGTCAATCAATGACAGTTCTGCCACAAGAATATTTCTCTTCTTAACAGAACTTGTCACTGGCAAGTTACATCTTTAAGCCATCTTCTGTGTGTTTTAACATTGTAAGTGAAAAAGTACTAATTTACTTCACAGTGTTCACTTTGAATGACTTAAGCATCACAATAAAGGATTTACAAAAAGCATGTTGTGTTTCATTGCCCGCAAAATCTGATTCTTTTTCCCCTGGGAGCAGGGGATGGTGAACTGAGCGATGCTTTTGACAGCTGTATGTGCTGAATCGCTTTTCGAAGGAGCCAGGTCTATCCATCGACTCTAGAGGGAAGCAAAGACAAACTGGCTTCCCAGTTAGCCCTCTCCCTTGGATGCCCGTGTTTAGGTGGGACGGAGGCAGGCCCTGCTGCACCCTCTGCCTTTCCACTGCCCGTTCTGTTTAAAGGTCGCAGGAATTCTGCCCTCCCGGGAGTGTTCTAAATTAAATTTCTTACGGCATGATGGGGGTGAAAAATTCCAAAAATGCAGACAGTCATAAACGCGAGCTCCATCCAGCAAAGGCTGCTATGAGATGTTTCACGCTTGTTTTCCCAAATCCAGGACCGCCCCCTCCTGGCGGTCCGGGCGACCTGCCCGGGCCGGGCCAAAGCGCACAGGGACGGAGCGCCGGGGGATTTTTGCCTGCCCGGGATGGACCGAACGCTGAGACCTCCCTGTCGAGCACAGAATCTCCATGGCTCACCCTACAGACATACCGAGTTTTAGAATTAAATGCCTGAGGCGGCAGAAACACAGCGCGAGTGACAAAATGAATTGTTTAATCTGCCTGCTTGGTAGCAGACAAACGGCAAATCAGATTTTATCTCTTCTTAGGGAAGTGGAAATTATGGGGATGAACAAACTCCTAAAAATAACAGAATAGCTAAAAGCTCTGCTTTCTCTAGAGCAAATGTAGCCCTTTGGGAAAGTGCAACAAATACCATCTGTGTTTCCAAAACTCGGAAGTTAATTTGTTGCAGACGTCTCCGTATTTACTGAAAATGGACATATTTTGTGTGGCAGAACAACATCTTGTAGTGATGAAAAATAACTCCCATCCAACTCCAAAGGGGGGTTTACCTGCAAAAGCTCAGTTTAAAAAAATCACTTTGTTTAAATCAGCCATCAAACCTATCTGTTGGGGTTTTTTAACTTAGTTTCATACACATATTGACAGCTGTTCACAGAGGAAGCTGAGAGGGGAAACTGTGAAGGAGTTGTGACATTTATGACAGATATCTCTTTCTGATTGCCAGACCAGAAGTGTAGCTTACAGACAGCTAACACCTTGGTGACGTTTCTTCAGAATGGACAACTCTACAGGCTTTCCTGACAATCTGTTCTTTTCACTGTCCCTTTTAAGCACTTCTGTTGCTTGTAATTCATGTTCAGTGTAAGGGATAATTTAGAAGACATGCTTTTGCATCAAAATGTTTAACTGGAATTTAAAAAGAATTCAGAGTGTAACTCTGAGATGATGTAAATGAGTATTTGCTTTAAAACAGCATATCTGATGGGAAGCCAGGGGAACCCAGTGCAGCACTTCAGCTGACAACAGCTAAGCATCTTTGTTTTAAACTATGGCTGGAATTGGGCCATGAAATACAGAATACAGATAGAAATGCGGATCTGAATTTCTCCTGTGCTTGGTGTGCAGTTTGGGTCTGTTGCAAAGACAAGTTTGGAACTAGATTTTAGTCTAACTTTTTTGCAGCATAGTGGGGCCCCAAATATTACCCTGTGAAATTCAAAAATGGAGGCAGCACATGGGAAGCTGAGGCACTGTGGCACTGATTTTATATTTGACTGCAAAGATTTAACATGTCTATTTTCTCTTGTACTGCTTGGACTCTGAATGACTGAGAGCTCATCAATATCAGCTGCTTTCCTGGCAACAAAAATCCCCTTGAAGAGTTGTTACTTCGCTTTATTTCCCATACAACTGGGTTATGAGAATGCAGAAAATGTGGAGTCATTTGGGCAAGCAATGGTGCAAACACAAAGAAGTGAAGGCAGCGTCGTGGCAGAGGGGATGACAAAGCCAGGCACTGTCACTGCTGAGACGGATTCAGTGCAGAAAAATGTTTCTGGAATGCATATATGAGTCCTTGTCCCTGGCTCTTTGTTTGGGAGCTTACATCAATACTGCTGCAACAAAGATTCCCAATAAGCTGAAACAAAATAAAATGTGCATTCATGGGAGCACTGCCATTCAAGAACACAAATTTCCCAGTTAAAATGAAGGTCAGTCATAAATTACATCTCTGATTCCCTCAGGATTTCTCTCTTGCTGTTTTGGCAGTTTAAGACCCCTTTGATATTTGAGCAAGGCCTTTCCCTTTGCACATCTGATCTTGATTACGGTTTATGGCAATGGTAATTCGTTACCTCCCCAAGGCAGCAATTCTGAGAAGGAAAGCAAGTACAGTATGATTGTTTAGGAGAGAGGCACAGTGCAGAGTGTTTTAACCATTTCTCCATTTTATAGCAGTGTCTCTTCCTCACAGATTACCCTTCCACATAGCAACACCATAAGCTCCTCCCATGGGAATGCCCCAATCCATCAGAGAAATCACTGTCTGGAGGCACAAAAAACTAGGTTACATATTTACTTATCAAAACAGTGACCCCTGAGAATAAAGCTGTGGTTTGGATACATTTTAGATGCTGTTTTGTGGTGAACACAGACTAATGAGGTATCAATACGCACGAGAGATTTTCTTCCAGCTGTAAAGGTCCCAGGGGTTGCCCTCCCCACCTCTTTTTTTACAAAATGAAGAGGAATGTTCTTACTCAGTTTTGGGAATGGAAGTCTGTAAAAGGGGGGGGTATATTTCCTCATGGATTATCAATCAGCAGCCAAAAATACACTGAGGCTTTGCATGAAGGAATGGAATGAATGAAACTGGGGCTTGCACTGCTTTTCTGTGTATGCAAAAGGCAGAGGCAAATGTTCCAGTTGAAAGTGCATTGAGAGAATTTGAGACAATGTGAAGGTGGCAGAAAACAATGCCTATGTGCTTTTTCTTTGGGTAGTATGAGGCATTTTGAGGCGATTACAATTGCAGTAAGATTTTTCATGTCAGTTTATAACATACGCTTCATTCCTTTATTGCTTTCACTTCTCTGGCTTGGTTCTACTGGCAGTTCCTTGGGTTCATTGAGGATTTTCAGTTTGCAATGTGAGAGGCTATTGAACACGCCTTTAGCAGCACTAAAATGCTCCTAGATAAAATATGCTCTTATAGACTTGAGGGATGATTACAAAATTATTTAATTGCCATTCAGGCACTATAAATACTACCCTTTTAGTGAAGACAAGTGATGGGAACATTTCTTTCATAAAGGTGACCACAAATATTGCACTGGGAAGTGCAGGCAGCTGGCAAGTTTTGCAAGTTTGATCCTGGTGCCTGGCAGAAACACAACAGGCAGCATTGCTAATGATATTTTATTTTTTGCTTGCTTGTATAATACATTTTTAAAAGCTTAAATGTGTTTTTAAATAGGCCCATGTACATTTCAAATGGGACTTCCAAAGTGCAGCAGGACTTCCCACTGTATCTTGCCATGAAGATACCAAGGATGTGATAAACAAAGGATATTCGTAACATTTTCCCAGGAAGAAGGAAATTTCCTAACTCATCATACATAAGCCTTTCATAAAAGTAATGCCAAACTTCCACAGAGCAGGAGAGGAACAAAGCCCTAGAAGCTCTTGCTGTTCCAGTGACACAGCAAACATGCTTGAAGCAAGTTTGGCAAAACATAGACTTAATTAACACTAAGGAAGGATCCCTCTCCTCTATTACTTTAATTAGACTTCTAATATTAACGTGGAACATACAACTTCTGAAGAATGTGAAGGAAAAAAGCATTTATTGTGTGTGTTTGTCCATTTTCACTGATGTGAAAGGTTGAAGAGAAGGGGGCTCTCCAGTCTGAGCCTTCAGGGAGGCCCAGCCTGCACTGCCAGCAGCTGAGGGGTGCCCAGCCTCCCGTGGGGAACACTGCATTAGGAAAGCTCTCCTTCACTCTCGTAAATCAGCCTAATTACTCTAATGAGAGCTGCATCCCTCTGCTGCGAGCCCCGCTGGTTTACAGAGAGGGGGAAGTAAATAAAAAGGAACAATGTTGGCTGCTGCTGCAGGAGGGACACCGGGAGGGAGAACAATAGTCTTGAGTCTCCTCCCTGCCACCACCCCCTTAGGAGGGAAGAAAGAGATGGCTTCGTGCACACCCCTGGAGTTATTCCAGATCAGGACTGAAATCAGACGCTGGGCTTGGCAGCATCTGCTGAAGGAAAAAGCACATAAAACAGAAGACAGAGGCATGTTATTTTCCAGGCTCTGAGAGAATGTTGCTTAGGAAAGAAAAAGGATGGTATACAAGGCCTTGGAATGTCTGTCTGAGCAACCAACGTGCTATAAATACTGACCTGAGCTCTAATAGCAGCATCAAGTCTTTATGCCTTGGGATTTTTTTAGAGTAAAGGTGGATTTTACTTTTTGTCCCTTAAAAACATGTTTTTTGGTTCCTCTTCTTGCTTTGTATTTAAGCTTTTTTTTTTCCAATTGCAGCAATTAGAAACTTCTTTTTGTGTAATGAAATTTTAGATTATTTACTACATGAATCTGGGAGCTGAGGCTTTAAGCAAACCACAAAGATTTATTATGAAAATAGGAGAGCCAAAATTATGTGCAGCCCTACTCATTGTTGTCTATATTTTTGTCATGCTTCCTCTATTGTCCCCTCTTTATGATGACTGAAACAAATCATTCAAGTCTAGATTGCATATTATGACACCCACAAACCCTCCTTGCTATTGTTTGGGCCAAATTAAAAGCATTTGTCAAAAATAATCGTGGAATGGCATAAAAAAATCACGTTCATTTTGCCAAGGATTCAATTATTTCTATTGTGATAAATTTTTCTTCATGTTAGATACTAATTTATATGTTTTAACAAAAGAGATTGAAAAATTATACAATTCTGGCAGTGCTTCTGATGTTCTCCTCTCAGAAAAATTCCTCTGGATGTTGCCAGTTGCTTATTCTCTCTTGATCAGTTAGCTTTATTAAAATAAAATGTCTTTGTCCTACCCTTTGTACAGCATACTTACTTCAATCTTTAGCTTCAGTTTGATAAACTGTTCAATTTCTAAATCACATCTTCAGTCTTCAGCTAGATGTCGTGATCATATTTTTGGCCTTTCAGACTCCAAAGCAGGCTCTGCAAGTACTACAAACCCCTTCTATTCAGTCACCTTCCCATCTACCTTTCCTGCATTCACTTGCAGGGAATAAATACATTGTGATGTTAGGAGATCCCTTGGAGCCTCTTTCAGCCCTGAAATTGCTTGCTCCTCTAAGATTCCTGATTCTGGAAGCACCATGTCAGGTTAGTACTTCTGGCTGCTGTATTGGTGCTGCATGCTCTCTCTGCCAGGAGTCAGCAGCCCTCCCTTCCCCTGCCATCCCACAGGGCTTCCAGCTTCTGCTGGCCTGGAAGCTCCACAATTCCATCTCCAAACCATACCTTGTTCCCTGACACTTGCAGATCACATTGAGGCTGGATTAAAAGGAGCTTCCCTGACAGCTTTGTGTAACCCATAATGACAGTGGAAAGCTGGGTGTAGTTGATCAAGGTACTAAGAGAGGAATTTAATGTATAGAAAGCCAGTTATGTCCTACAGGCACAGATTACGGGGCCTTTCTTGGAGCCATCACTGCATCTGACTTGACTGAAGTATAACATGGTGTGAAATTTGCAATAGCACTTTGACCATTACCAGATTCAGGCACTGAAAAAGACACATCAGGCCAAGCACGAAGTGTGAGACTGTTGTTAAATCATGAAAAATATTTAGAATTGTTTATATTTGCATTTCTGAGCCTTTCTACTTGCTTTTGTGCTTTCAGCCTTTTCTTTACAAGAAACAGAAATGTAACTTCAGAGGGCAGCAGGAAGAAAGACACAGAAAATGCCCAGCTTTCAGGAACCAGGCCTCTGAGAAATGCATGCAGAATCCTGACTCTTAAAAACCAGAGCAACAGCAAGCAGGGCACAAGACCCACTAACATTCAGTGAGTCTTGTGACATAAAATCCTTGGGCACTTATTAAATTCTAATATCTCAAAACTCATTCCAGAATTTTAAGATTATGTTTTGTTACCTTCTTAGCTCTTATACAGGCCACAGCACAAGAATCAGAAGTTTACATTGTTAAATCCAGTAACACTGTAGTTTAGTTAAAGGGGATTTGTGCTCCTGCTAATAAGATTATTTTAACTACAAGTTACATCATAGCTTCTCAATGTAACAATCCCAGTGTAGCAGAGTAGTAGCTCAAGCAGCTATTATTTATTTAAAAGACACTTAGAGGTGGCACTTAGGGACATGGCTCAGTGGTGGGCATGGCAGTTCTGGGTTAATGGCTGGACTTGACTACCTGGGAGGGTCTTTCCAATTTAAATGGTTCTGTGGCTTTTGATAGCTCTTTAAAACATTTGGCTGTGCTCTCCCACCACACAACCAGATGCAGAACTTACTTGAAACAAAGGCAAGCTCCATGTAAGGCAATATGCAAATTCTAATTTAAATCTGCAAAGTCAAGTTACACTTCCCAATGTTTGGCTGCTTCTGACTTTGCCAACACTTGAAACTATAAAATACTTATCAGATAATCAAAGTTCAAAGGTCATCTTAATGTTTGAGAACCAAGCCTCACTCCAGCTACATCAGTGTGGTAACACATGTAGTAATACATGGCATAGTAAACCGTGGGAAAAACCTCGTACTTAAAAGTTATAGGTTAAGTTGCATACCTAAGTAACAACATACTTACATAAGTAATATATGACACGTATATATAATATACATGCACTATAAGTAAAAACATATACTGCTTTACTAAGTTTATCTAAAATAGGGAAAGGCATTTTAGACTGAACAAATCTGAGACCAAAAATCTGTTTTGGACAAGCAGTACTTACAGCCAAGAATCTGCACATAGGAGTGAAATTACTGAAGTATAAAAGGTCTGCAATGACCTCTTTTCCTTACAACGGCTGCTTGCTTTTAGAATCTGCATTACGAAAATTTGTTGACAAAAAAAATAAATAAAGGTCCCATGGAGCAGCTTTAGCTGCCTCCTATGTAGAACTAGCTTTTCTTGAAGCAAATTATCCCATTTATTATTATTCAAAAGAATTATTTTTTTTTTACTCAGCCCAATAATGATGTAGGAGGAAGCAAGTTAAAAGAAAGAAAAGCCCTCTCACTTGCTACTCTTGGAGGCAGCCCAGTCTGATTCACACCATGGCCAGCAGTTTTGTTCTTTTGTGCTTTTCCTTGTCTTTGATGGAGACCAACACCAGATACTGCTCTGCCCCAGGTTCTTTCACTACACTATCAGAAGTTTGCCCTCTCTTTGTCAGAAATTAAATGATGCACTCTAATGAAACAGCGTCTGATCTGGAGGAACCGCTTTGTCACCAAGACTTTGCTACCAGTAAATAAAAATGGAAACCTTTATGCAAACCAGCAGGACTTTAGCCAGCATGAAAATAACTGAGTTACTGTCCTCATTCAAAAACTATTTGCGTTCGATCACCCCAGACAGCAGGAAAACCAACTGTTCCCTAAAACATTGTAAAGGTCTGTGCAGACACTGCTGCTACCCAGAGACTTCACAGCATGCAGACTTTTAATTGCTTCTCCTTCTTCTCTGCACACAAAGGCATCTGCAATGTTTATCTCTAGCACATCTTAGTGGGGAATAGATTAGGTTGTAAAATAGAGCAGGATTGCAAAGAAAATTGCTGAATACGTACAATGCCTTGACGTCACTTTTTCCAAGTAGCCTTACTGTGCCATACTCCACTCTGTCTTACCACGAATTTATTAATTTGCAATACAGGTCACACTCAGAGCTTTGAAGAAGACACAGCTGTCCTATAACAGCTTCCTCAATGAGATCATTATCTGCAAGATCCAGCACACTATTCCTTTTCCTCTTTCTAATTTCAAGTTATAATCTTTTCTCAAACACAGATCAAACATTTCTGAAGCAAACTCATATCACTCTGAACACATATTTATACAAATTAAATTACAACATCTCATATAGACCTATTTATGCAGAAGATAATATTATTTATACTCAATGACAAACAAAATAAACTTCTGTTCTTTAATCTCCATGGCATATCAGGAAAATTCCCATCCATCCATTGCTTTGACCTACATCCTTTTTTTAGGATGAAACTCGAATCAGGTGTCTGTTGTTTCCCTGGAATATAATATTATCACCCCATCCAATCATAACTTTTGGGACACTGTCAAATTGGATGTAACCTGTTCATCATGCAAACAATTTTCCCAAGTGTGCCAGAACATGTCTGGACAATATCAAGATAGTGAAAGCACCTCTGACCCACCACATGTCAGAAGAGCAGCACCTTTCTGGTCAGCAGCTTGGGATAACTAACCACATGGTGAACAGGCAGCTAGGAACTAGAGGCAACAAAAGCTGTTGCAGGAGGAAGATGAGAATGGTGCCACGAATGATGGCTTATGTGGAAGCAAGACTGTGAAGACTACTGAAAAAACAGGGTACACAACCTCATGCAAGTTGCTAATGTCCAACCTGTTTGAATTGTCTTTTCTAATGACAAATAATACTGAAGTATTAGACAGCTTTCTACCGAGAACACTCCATACTTAGGGAAATGCTGAGTATTTATATATACATTTTAATGTATGTGTGAGTACACACACACACATACACACACATATATGTATATGATATGATATGTAAATATATGAATACTGCTGTAAGGGGTCACCTGTCCTAGGTTCTTAATCTGAATTTCTACAGCTAGCTTATTCTCACTGTAGAAGAGCCCCATCTCTCCAGATCAGGTCTAGAGTTCCTCCCTTGCCATGCCACTTCAATCCATTAACCCAAAACAAGCTGTAGTGGAATATGGCTGCCCCACAGCCTGCTGCTGTTATATGTGCTCTGTATGCTGTTATAGATGGACTAGAATTCAGACCTCCCACTACCTTTAAGCATCAAGAAACCTCCATGCCTAAAAAACCTGGTGGTCTTACATGCACTAGCATAAGGTAATAAGCAGCCTGATAAAATAATACGGTCTATAAAGACAAGGTACCTGAAAAAGGTTAGGCTTTGAAAGGTAATTAATTGACAACTATCATTAAAAGTTCTTTCTGTTCCTCTGCCTCACCTCCTACAGGTCCCAAAGCAGGGGCTTAAAAAGAGCAGGTCTGGAAAGAGAAAGTGGATGCTGAGGAGCTGGGATACCTTGTCACGCAGGGTCTATCTACGGAGAAAGGAGTAACACATTTAAACATCACCATCAAGCTGCATGCAATGTGGAGGAAGCAACAGCAAAAAAGTGTGGCTCTAATCAGTTATATCTATCCCCACCCCCAACACACAGGTTGAGAATGCATAATCCTGTCTGTTTATGTCAAAACACCAAACAGGACATGAATCCCTGGGAACCACTCCAGAGCATTCAATTAAGGCTGAAAAAGCAAAGCCTCCATTCCCAGATCTGTCCCTTATTTGGAGCAGATTACTACTGAGTGTCACTGTCAATCAAGGGGATAAAGATATTAACATTCTCTGTGAGGTACTATGTGATCAGTTCATTGGAAGCACTTGTTTATACAGCCTATACAAATATATCTATTTACACATGTGTCATTTCTAAACACTTTGAAAAACAAAACCAGCATGGCATAAAACCAAATTTTGTTTCAGTTAAATGGCTGCTGTACAGGTAGTTTCCTTCTGACATGCTCAAAGAAAACATTCTCACAGGCACACCATGAATGTGTATGGCAGAGTGCCACGGGAGCCCTCAATGGAATACTTCATTAAAAAACAAACAAACAAAAAACTGGAAGCACATTCCAAACCCAGCAAGCAACACTTCATGCAAATAATTTAAACTAAGAGGAGCCACAAAGTTTGCAACTTGGCTGAAGGATTAAGACTGCATTTAACCAAGAACTCTGTGTACTACACAGTGAATACCAAGAACTTACAGCTTGTGGGCTTCAGTGGAACTTGGGCATCTGTATTTTTGGTCACAGGTATTTGAACTTGAACAACCTGAATCTAAAGCAAGAACACTTTAGGCTTCAGAGAAAAAAACACTAAAATGTACAGGATTTTAAATAAATATCCTTCTCATGGAGTCATGTCCCTAAGTCAAATGTCACTGAGATGCAGAATTCCCTGAGTTTCAAGAACAGGAAGACGTCACACTTTTCTAACAAGTTCAGTGGCTCCAGAGTGTATCAGATTTCCTAAGTGTGTCTACAGGGCCAACTGCTTCTTGGCAGGGCAGAACAACCCTCACTGAGCCAGCTCTGCACCAGCTACACTGCTTCCAGCTGTACCTGAGCTCCTGCTTTAAAGAGAACCTGGCTGCAAGTGGGTATCACATTCCTTGTGACTGACAGCACGGACTGCGTTTTCTTTCTTTCAGTGTGGTGGACCTTACAACAAGGCTAACAAGGATGCCCCTCTCTTTCCTGATGGTGGTCTCCACTAAAAAGGCAGCTTGTCTTCCACCTCATGTTCCCTGGAATGGAGTATCCATTCCACTCATGCTAGCATCAACTCTTGAGAAAGACTCAGTATTTAACAAAAAGCACCTTGGATTCATGAGTTACAGCAATTGATCTCACTTACTACAAAGAAGTGAGCAGCACAAATGTCTAACAGGATTTCTGTTACCGAACAACTGCAAAACCATTTAAGAATTACTGCCAGTTTTTTGTTTTAAATATACAAATTTGACAAGCATATCATTCATCCCTGAATACTAACTACATTAAAAAAACATACAAAAAACAAACTCTCTCATGCTGAAATTCAACTTAAAGTGCTCTTAATGCATAAGGAAAAAGAGGTTTTAAAAAAGTGTAAGCTTGCAGAATATGAAGAGGATTTTGTGTCAGGAACTGACAGACATGCCTGATCAGAATCTTTTCACTAATCATATAACAACAACAAATAGTACTTTGATCCAATTCTGAATACAGAGATTTGAAAGCCTTTAGGAAAGAAATATGATACTTTTTACTATGTTCAACTAAATCAACTATATGGTTTTTTAAAAAAATGTAAATTATAAATCTGTCATGGACTATGATGTAAATAATTTTCTAGAAGTGTTCCCATAAATCCCATATCAATGGAAAATCTTAAGCCAATTATGGGAGCTCTGACTGAAGCAAGAGAACCTACATATATGAAGCTCAAAAAATACGACCTGTGAAGATTTAACTTCAAAATGCTCTGTGACTAATCTATCAGGTTTCATAATTTTAAACATTTTTCAAAGTAGGTGTTAAAAAATTTTTAGCCTCTTTGTTTAATAGTCTCTAACACTCCTGTGGTCTAAGGCTGAGAGGAGAAGCCACCCCATGAAACTTCACAGGCCCTGAAGTGAGGTATCAAGAGAAAAAAAGCTCCCATCACAATTAATCACGATTAATTCCACCTCTAGAGCATGACTGACAGGACTTTTTTCAAACGCCTTTTCCCGAACATGATCTCTGTCTACACATGCTTGTTTTCCTCTAATATGGATGAATCCTTTCCTAAAAGTAATATTTTCCCCACTTGTGACATTCAAATTAAGCATACTTAGAAATATCATCAGCTTTGCAGCGGGTCACAAACAATGGGTGTGCTATGATAAAATGGATGTATTTTAGACTGTTATTTTCCATTGTGCTGCTAAATAAGATACCTAAGTTTGTACTAAAATTTACAAATCTTCTGTAGTAGTTCCTGCAGCATATCCATAGTCTTGCACAAACAGGCAAAAAAACCCCACAGTGTTCCACCCCACAAGATCCTGTAAAACTACTTTCCAAAACCACTACAAGATGGAAGTGTTCTACTAGCCCCAGTTCTACTAACACCTTATTTTTGCAAATACACACTACAACACTGCACTACTTTTCACACAACCTCCACAAGCTAGAGCTATGAACGACCATATCGCTCCCTGTTCTGCAAGCTTGAACCTCTCCATGTTTGATCAACACCTAACACGCCAGTAGCTGGGTTTTACAGCTAGACAGTGAACCAAACTTCATCTGAAAACAACTGAGGTAGACAACCACCAAGGACTACTCTGGGGCATCTAATAAAATCCCCGACAGATTTATACGTAGTTAAGGGGCAAAGAACAAAAACCCCATCCCAAGTTTAAAGAAGACACAGAACAGACACCCAAGAAGTGGCCACAGTGCCTGACTCCACCCCTGTAAAACAACAGACACTGACAAAGCAATTGGTGCACAAATTAAATCAAAGGCTAGTCTGTCCTCCACCCAAAAAAGAAAATATTTACATCTATATTTAAAAACACACACATACATTAAAGCTAGAAGAGCACTCTGATTTTAGGAAAATTTGCCTACTCATCCATTAAGAAAACCACCAACACACACACAAATAAATCAACACTATTTATTAATACTTCTTTGCTCATTCCTGAAAAGGAAGAAATTAAAAAAGAAAATAAATTATAAAGAAATAACTGTTTTGTCTACTTCTCAAGAATCTAGGATCTGCTCAAAGTTAAGGTAACTGCCAAAAGCTACACCTTATCACTCAAATCTCTCCTAACCAGCAAAATCATCTAAGGAGTAATAGATATTGCTCTTCTGCACAAGGCTCATCTGTATGATGAATTAACTGTAGGCATTTAATCCTTTGGCTAGCAAACTTCTGAAAGTTCTTGGTACAGAATTACCAGTTCAGCTTAATCCACTTACTCGACTGGGAGCGGAATATGCTTTTACCCCAAGACCTAGGTGGAAATGATTCTCAATTCTGAAACAGCAATCCAAGGTCCAGTCACCTGGCTTTAGACTACAGTTTGCTTCACTGTTTAAATGTACAATTTTTTGGGTATTTGAAGATGCCTAGTCTTCCTGGTCTGAAGAATTCCTAGTCCAAGGAAACAAATCTTGCATTCACCAAAAGCCAAAAACCTGCCCATCCTCTGCCTAAACTCTCCAAGGTCAATCTGACATGCAGACTACATCAAGTACACACAGAACTGGAGGTTCTTTATAAAATTTGAGCAATTCCCTGAGGACTGTTCATAGGAGAGCAACCACAACAGGAAACAACATCCTGTGTGAGCCTAGCAGCACACTTACCCAGCAAACAGGCTCAGATTCCAGTCTCCTGCTGGAACAGAAAGAGAAAACAAAATACAGATTGCCTCTTTTGCTAACCATCCGTGGGCTTAAAGGGGGAAAATGTCCAGAGCTCAGATGAAGCTCAAATGATTTACAGAATCTGATTTGCTGGGTAGCAAGAACTGTAGGAAGTAGCTCAGTACAAGTACACTTAGAGCAGACAGAAATTAGGACAAACCCCACCTCTCTATCATCCTACCCCATCACGCTCCAGTCGTCCCTAACCAGGGCTTCACATCCATACCTTCTCTTTATTCCCTACCCTTAAAATTAGGGTGAACCCCCAGTCCACCCACCTCCATTTCTGTAAGGTGATTAACAGAAACTGCATGTGGGAGGCACCTGAACTGCAGGGTAAGCACCTTGAAGAGACAGTAATGGGGTGTGAATGGCTGCTGGCATAAGCACTTCACCCAGTGGTTCCTATAATCACTTCCACACAGAAAATGACTTGTACTCCAACATACCACCCACAAGCAGTTTCTTTGGTAACTGCCAAAAATCTCTTCAGTTTACTTGCAAGGAGTCAACAGTCAAGTGTTTTGAAAAAACTGTTGATCACTAGTGAGTTAAGTGCTGGCACATTTTCAACAGGTACTTCTATAAAAGCAGGGAGTCATCAGATCTCTTCCAGTTATGTTCTATTATTTGGAAACCTGGTAAAGGTGCCTTTACATAAATTCAGTGCTTTAGCCAACTGCTCTAGATGCATTTCACTAAACCTCTGAATCAGGCACAGGTAGGAGTTTCAAAAACTGTCTCCTCACATATTAAATAAGATACAGAACATCCAACACAGCAGTTTAGATTAGGAACCCAACTTTTGTCAGTAAGGTTCCTAGACTGTAAGCACTCCAGTAAAGCACCAGGTCAAACTCAGAGTGTCATAAAAATTCAATATAAAAATTAAGTTAGGAATAAGTATGATACTTTAAACGTATGACCTGCCTTATTCCAGGTAAACTTTCTGTTTCAGGCTATCCCTGCACAGCTGCTGCCATCTTCAAATTAGCACTTCTCTTCCAGCAATACTTTGGACCAACTTAGTCTGCATGTCTTCTGAACAAAGTGAAGTTGTTTAACAAAAGCTATTCATGTCAAGATTTATAGTGTCTGAAAAGGCAGTGAAAAAAGAAATAATAAGGTTTTTTATTGAAACCCTTCAATAAAAGGGTTCATTTGGGTAAATACAAAATATAATGCTAAACACTATTTCTGAGTAGCAACTCTACAGGTGCACGATGACTGCCACACTAGGGAGTTATTCTAAAGATAGGCAGGCCCTAGAGATCTGTTATTTCTCTCCACTTTTGAATGTGAATTTAAATGGAAATTTTAGATTGGGATCACTGAATGGAATTCTAGCAACATTTCAACTTTTTATTTGAATGTTGGGAGGCCCCCATATGTGCGTAAGCACTAGTCAACAGTTACATTTTTCCCTTAGTTTTTTAGTAAAAGAAAAATCAAGCATCTCCAGCTGTTTAGTTTTGACACTGTAATAGCTACAACTAGACACACTAATGGCTGTGAAGTAGATTCTTTAAAGTCTTACAAGGCTTCTCTTAGAGCTTCTTTAGTTTTATCAGCTCCAGGAGAACAAGAGGCATTATTTATGATTACTCTAAGGCAAACAAACCTGTAATTATTGTGTGAGACCAGTACTAGAAATTAACTGTACTGTTCTCCATAAATGAGCTTTCTATGATACAAATTGTTTTTCACAATTTCCAGTTCCAGTGCAGCTAATAAGAGGCAGCAGCCTACATTTGCAACTCAAAGTTCTTGCTCTTAAGTGTTTTTCCTGAATCTTCCTATTTCCAGCAAATCAGTTACTACGAGTCTAAGGGCAGACAGATTGGCATACAGTCAAATAAATCACATTTTTGCTACTAAAAATAGCAAATTTTTTGTGTTTTCCTTCAACATAAACAAAGTGGTCCTAAGTGCTGCAGTACTACAACAGCAACACCCCTGAGATAATGTACTTCTGTCACCTCTGCATGACCCACTGGGAACCCCCCAGAGGGAAGCCCCGGGAAGTGCCACACAAGTAAACTGTGATTAGCTCAGTCACACTCATCCCTGATGTAGCCTGGCAAGCAGAACATAAAATTTGCTCCCTATTACTGATGAAGAGCTATTACCAAAACTATTCACATCTCCATTCCCTCTATATGTGCACCTGACAGACACACCACTATCAAGTCAGGAGATTTCAATTGCACTTCTTTCAATTTAGTTAACTGGTATTGAATGAAGATTTGACAAGATAAAGAGTTTAAAAAGTTACTATTGTAACACACAAATAAGTGGGACAAATGCACGTGTACGTGCACACACTGCTGAGAGATTTCTGCAGAACAGAGAAGTTCAGCAGAAACAAAAAACAGCATTAAATTGAAATTTATGCCATGCTGTTATGTCATCCCTGATCTCTAAACTAAGTTCTATTTTAATGTCCTCTGTTAAGAGTGGCTGATAGCTGCAAACCACTTCTAATTTTCTTCTTTCACCTTTCATTTTTATTTCTTTCACATCATTTCAGGATATTCCTCATTCTCCACAATCTTATTACCATTATTTAACAGATCAGTATAGAGCTAAAAGGCATTAAAAAGGCTTCCAGAAATCATATTACTGGCTTTTAGCCAGGATTATCTTCTTTGGTTTTTTGTTTTCCTCCGTATTTTCAACTGGACCCCAACGGTATTTCAGGTCTTCTAGCTGCTATTGACATTTTTTTCGTACCCCCAAGTGAATTACTGGTCCAAGCATTCACGGTGTAGCTGTCTTTCCACCTGTACCAAACCCAGCTTTCACTGCAGCACATCTTTCTGAACAAGGCTTTGAAGAATACCCTCAGAAGATGCATGAAGCACATACAGTGATAAATTTTAAGCCTCCATGCCCTGCATTACTCCTGATTTCTCACCTTATCCCTCTATTATTCAAGTAGGCAATCACTGTAAACAGGGCTGTCTTTGTGCATACATCAGACAGAACTCCAAGCTCCTAGAGGAAGCTAAATAGCTCATTTCTACTTGGTCCCAACAGTAAAGCCTAAGCATTTGTAAAGTCAAAAGAAGTAGTATCTGATTGACTTGCATCCACTAGTTTTCTAAAACTAATTTACTGGGAGCCATCTGAAGTCAACCAATAAAACCTGCCTTTTTTCTAAGCATAAAGATGTCAAAACTGACAGTCTCCCATCTGCCTCAACTACCTAGCTGCTATTTTTGGCAGTGTTCAATTAAGTAGATTTTTTAAAGCAAAATAGCAACTTTATTTCAACTATTTTCTAGTGCATTTGAAAATAACAAAACATACAGAAAGGCTGGAAGAAAATCCCTCTCTGCTTATACTGTGGCTGTAAGGTTCTGCGGCTGACCACATTTCTCACCTAGTGGAATTTTAGCACTGCAGAGTCCAAACATTTGACTGTTTCACGTTATATTGGTTTTCAGATCTGGTGAATGCTTTAAGCTTCCCACTTCCTTCTTGAGGACATTAAGTAAAGTTCTAGAGCTATCCAAAATCTTCATGTAAGCAGCTTCAGTTTCAGCAAGTATTTTATCAAGCTCGTTCCTTGAAGCCACTTTTTGGGCCAGGTTTTCACATACACACTCCAGCTGTTCACTGAGGACTTGGATTTCATGCTGGAGTTTATTCTTTTCCTCTTCTGCTTGCTGGATTTGTTTGTTCAGTTCTTCTTTTTGCATACATAAATCTTCAATGCATTTCACTAGTTCATTATTGTAACCCTGAAGAACAGCTCCCTGCTGAGTCATCCTGCACTCACTCCCTGAAGTCCCCTTTCAGCAATGGCCTTCTGCACTCCAATTAAATGAAAACAAACAAACAAAGACACAGAAAAAAAAATCTGTAAGATGTTGCCGCGAATAATGCTTCACTAGCACAGATGGAGCTACCTGACAAGGTTCTCTATCTAAGGCTAACATGCCCATTCTCAGATGAGCCACATCTCTTCCCTTGTCAGGAGGGGGACAGAAGAAAATTTGGTAAATGGTCTTAAACCTTTACTGAAAACTGCTGGCCCCTATGAAACTGTCATAGCAATAGTATCAAAGCATTTAGTATATTTTTTATAATACCTTTATCCAATCCTGAACATAGGACGCTTTGTACCTCAAACTTCGAGGGGCTGGTCAGAAATAAGCAAAAATTACAGAATCACAGAATGGTTGGAAGGGACTTCTGGAGATCATCCAGTCCAACCCCCTGGCAAGGCAGGGTCACCTGGAGCATCCAAGCGGGTTCTGAATGTGTCCGCAGAGGGAGACTCCACGCCCTTCCCGGGCAGCCTAATCCAGCGCTCTTCCACCCCCAACACGAGGAAGTTCTTCCTCATTCTGAGGCGAAATTTCTTGTGTTTTAGTTTATGGCCATCGCTCCTCTTCCTGTCACCGGGACCACCCTGAGGGGCTCAGCAGGCACCGACACCACCAGGGAATCTTCCCGACACAGCGAGAGCCCGGAGCTTCCCAACACCGGGGTGACGCGGATCGCGTGTGCCGGGGCCCCGACGTGTGCCACCACTCAGAGCCCCGAGGACACCCGGGGCCAAGGCCCGACCCGCGCGGCCGCCGCGCCAGGGACATTTTAACACCCTCCTCGCCGCAGAGCGCGGCCCCGCGGAACACGCGCCGCGCACAAAATGGCTCCTGTCTGCACACCGAGTGCCCGGGCGGAAGGGGAGGAGGGGGTAGGTAAGAGGAGACCGGCCCATTCCTAGTTTCCCCCCCGCAATTCCCCCTGTTGCCCCCACCTGCCTGGCAGGATCGCGATTCCTCCCCACCGAGGGAGCGGCTCTGCCAGCGAGGCCGCGCTGCCCTCGGCTAACCGTGCGCCCGCCAACGACCGCGCCGGCCCGTGAGGGGTCACGGAAATACCCGAGCGCTTCCGAACGCGGCGCCTCCCCGACGGCCGCGCGGAAACGTCTCTCCGGAAAAACGCGATGTTTTCCGAAGACAGGTAGCGCTCGCAAGAGTGGGCCGAGGCGGGAGGGGCAGGGAGGGCCGAGCGTTACGGAAGGAGCCGATATTTGCCGAAGGGAGGGACTGAAGGGCGTCGCGCTCGGCGGAGGCAGCCGATGTTTGCCGAAGGGAGGGACTGAGGGGCGTCGGGCTCGGCGGACGCAGCCGATGTTTACCGAAGGCAGAGTCGCCCGAGAGCAAAGGGGACAGAGGGGACGGAGCGCGTCGGAAAGAGCCGGAAAGAGCCGACGTTGACCGAGCGCGGCGTCGCCCGAGTTCCCCGGATGTAGTTGGAGCGGCGGCGGCGGCGGGCGCGGCGGGGGGCGGCGGTGGCCGAGTCGGTGCTCCCGGTGTGTCTCAGCGCGCGCGGGGCCGAGCTGCCAGCGTCTCCCCTCTCGAGGCGATGGGCCCGTGAGCGCCGCTCCAGCCGAGCTGCCCGAGCCGCCCCCTTCCCCCGCCCCTGCCCCCGGAGCGCTGCCGCCCCCGCCTCCCCCCTCGGCGCCTGTGGCCCGGCCGCGGCCGTGCCCTCCTGGTCCCCTCACCCTCACACACACAGGCCGGGCATTGATGGTAATGTATGCGAGGAAACAGCAGAGACTCAGTGATGGGTAAATTCACCCCCCGGCCCCGCGGGGCCGCTCCCCCCCCCACCCCCTCCGCCATGTTCGGCCCGGCCGCGGGGCCGGTAACGGGCGCTCGCTAACGCCTCTCTTTCTTTCTCTCGCTCTCTCCTCAGCTGTCACGACCGCAGGGGGGACTCGCAGCCCTACCAGGTACCGCCGGGCCGGGAGGAGCAGCAGGGGAGGCGGGGGGGTGCTACTCCAGCAGAGGCTCCGGCGGCCGCTGCAGGCCGCGGTGCCGCGGCCGCCCCGGTCCGGCCCCTGGCGGCGCTCTGGGCCCGGGGCCGCGGGGCGGAGAGGCGGCGGCGGCCCTGGAGCAGGGAACGGGGCCCCGGTGCTCGGCCGAGGCCTACGGAGCCGGGGCGAGCAGGAGCGGCCTAGTGCGACCCGTGCGGGGCTCGGGCCTGCAAGTCGGGGAGGGTGCGAGGGGCGGGAGAGGGAGCCGGGGTCACCTGCGGTGGAGTGGAGATCCAGGAGGGGTGAATGTTTTTTTTCTAAAAACAAAAGGAGTCTTATTCTTCCACCCCCCCCCACCCCCCCCCACCCCCCCAACCCCTCCCCAAAGTCCTTTCTTCTCCCCAAAACTGCTGCTGTGGGCTATAACCTGAGCAGGCACGGGTTTAGACCCTGACCACTTTGGGGTTGTAAGTAAGGATCAATTTCTGCAGTTGCCAGCTGCTAGGCATGTTCAGAAACCATAAAATCCTTGAGTTACCGACAACAGCCTCAATTTCTGTAAGGTGAATACTGCACTTCTTTACTGTGTCTACTGAAGAAACCCCATTGTCGAGGTTTGAGTCTGTGGAAAGCCATATGTTGTGATATTGCTCTCTATAGGCCCTAAATTGAACTGTTTTACTGCATTTCCTTGTATTTGAATCACTGGAGTGCAGTAGGGCAGTCCAAGGCAGCTGTCAGTGACAGTTCACGTAAATGTAAACACTTGCCACTCAGGAGTTCACAGAACCAAGCAGGTCAGAGTGAGGCAGAACATGTAATTTTTGGTAAAAACTTTAGAATGAATTATTACATTACATATTTTGGCCCCCTAGAATTATTTTTTTTAATTACACATGTTACCGGGATGTTAGTACTGAAAAAAAAATCACAGAAATTCAAGGTTATGGTGAAACCAACTGGTCTTGACTAGAGTGTGGAGGACATATTCAAAGTTTACACTGATTCAGTGTAACTGTTAAGTTTGTTTTCCTAATAACAGGTGGAGGCTAGTTCTTGTCCCAAAAGTGTGGAAGAACTGTGGCCCATTTACTGCTGAAAGTGTGTAGTCCATCAGTGAAAAGATCGAGAAAATAGGTTCTTCTTAACAGCAAGTGTTGCATTGGATGTAATAGTGGGAGAAATTTGTTTAAGTTCTAATTACAGAACTTGTTGCTTTCATGTAGGTAATTAAAACTAAGAAACTAATGCTGACGACTTTTTTTAATAAGAAATGAACATCAATTAACTTCTGAAAGTACTTTTGAAAGAGAAGAAGAAACCCCAAAATTTTGTATCTAATGTCGATGCCTATTTTCCTGTGATCTGTTTCAGGCTCTTAAGTACACATCCAAGAGTCACCCCAGTGGTGGTGATCACCGTCATGACAAGATGCGAGACGCCACAGATCCTTCACCACCAAATAAAATGCTGCGGCGCTCTGACAGCCCTGAAAACAAATACGGTGACAACACAGGGCACAGTAAAGCAAAAAGTGTGCACACTCACAGAGTTAGAGAGAGGGATGGTGGTAAGTTGTGTTTAACAAACTTCTACAGTTACTAATTTCTCATCAAAACTAGCCATTATCACTCAGGTGATGTCCTAACACTAAATGTGCCTTGTACTCAGCTAGGGTGACTGCAGTGAACCCAAAATGGGGATTTAATTGGAAGCAATCATTGAGGCATTGTAAAACCTATTAATTTTCTGTTCTTTACAGATATGGTAGTTTTTCTTATAGCCCCTAAGATTAAATGAGCTCTTTTTAAAATTATTTTAACTAGTATGTCTTATTTATTAAGATAACATGAAATAGTTTTCTGGATTTTTCATTAGCAATTAATATTGGCTGTTTTGCATCCTTTTTAATAACTTTGCATATTGTGGTGCTCTAGTGGGTAGGTACATGCTCCATAGACTAAACACAATCAGAAATGAAAAAAGCTTCTTTGTATTCAGCTGCTATGCAGAACTCTTAATAGATGATCAAAGGTAGCACATACTAGAGCCTTTCTTGGCAGGAGCTTGAAGAACTGTGTTCACAGTCAAGTCAGCCTCCTCTGTTTTTACAGGTTTATAAACAGTAGTAATATCCCCAGTATTTTTTAACTGATCTTATTTTGTATCCCTGCTTCCTAGGAAAAGAGTAGGATTTTCCAGGTAATAAAGTGTGTTAGGTAACAAACAGAGTTTAGAAAATTGCACTTGCTGTCTGAATTTTCAGTTGTTCTTTCTTTTGTTGATTGGTCTTTTGTGTCAAGGTACAAGGTGAAGTATTCAAGTAGAGAATGTGGAACTTTAAATCAGTGCTTCCTTGTTGTATATAAAGCTGACAAATTCTAATGTACATAGATGTTTATTGCTGCACTAGTTTTACTTGATAAAATAGTTATAGTAAAATAAAATAAGTATCTTTCAAGTACCTTTTAATGACATACCAGTTTAACCCTACAAATGTGTTCGTGGGAAATTATTCTTATAAATCCTATTTGGTTTTCCTTCTTTGACTTAATGCTGAGGCTCTGTAGACCACTGTTAATGTCATAGAAGTGTGTAGATGCATTATAAGAACATACCTCTTTTGTTAATATGCTGATTTTCATTGAATCTGATAATAATTGAAAGTGTAGTAATCTCAGAATTAAATGCATGTGTGATGCCCATATGCTGCTATTCTGTGCTACTTTTCAGGATGCAGAGGTGTCCTCTTTTATTTTCTGTTCACCTGTCCAAAAATTAGTCCCACATTCTCTTGCAATTCTATTTAGTTTTGCTACAGTCAGTTATTTTTTCTGCTTGAACAGAGCTGCATTTAGTGGAATCATGCATATATGAAAATATCTGGAGGTTGAGGCTCTGTGTGGGGAGTGCTTCTGCTTATTTATGTGTTGGAAGTGTTGTAAGATAGGAGAGATATTTCTGAAGTCCTTACAAGGTCCAAATGGATGTAATAGCTGGGGAATGGTCTGAAGTGTGTATGCATGCAGTCAGGATGAAGGAAAATAAATTATTTCTAGTTTTGTGAGTGGAAGGAACACCATCCCCACAGTACCTTCTCCTAGTTGTTAAGACAGTGGAAAGTTTCATTTATTCTCATCTGAAGGCAGGTGTTTTCACATCATGTGTTAACAGACTGGAAGAAGGAAGTAGTCTTCAAGAGTGTAAGGGAAATTACTAATTTTAAAAGTTTAACATTTGTACTGTTTAATGTAAATAAGTGATTTTTTTGTGTGTGTCATTAGTAAGGTTAGTTTGGCCGCAGTTTCACCTCTGTAAAATACAGTCAAAACAACCAAAATTATGTTAAATCCTCTGTACTGTATGTAGTAAACCAAAGCTGAGCAAATGTGGGCAGAAGGGTATTAATTTTTCTTTGATATACTGAATATTTTTGTCAGTATGAATTGAAGGTAGGTATTAAAATATAGGTGAAATGCTCTAGTGTAATGAGCATTTGCATATTGCTAATAGGCAAAAGATATAATAAAATAATTTACTATTTTATCTGTCTGTTGAATTACTCTGAAGGGTTGCTGTTGATATAGTATTCCCTTAGTTTTGCAATTAGAGACGTACAGTGGAAAAAAGAAAAACATTACAAAAGTACTAACATATTTCATCTAAGCCTTTATATGACCAAGAGCTATTAATTTGCTATGATACTACTATAATTGCCTGTCTTGTTTTCTTTTTGCATTCTTCATAGAGGAGGAAAGAAGCTGAGTGGTTTTTATTTTTTTTTGATTGCTGTGCATTATTTTAAATTTGAATCTGCTCAGTTTGAAACTACTACAGGTGTTACTGCCTTCCTGTGATCTAGCTGAACTCAACAAAGCAAATCTCATTGAAACATCTCTAGTATTTATTTTCCTAAACTGAATTAAAATCCCTAACGAACAATCTCTTCTCTCATACCTTAGAAAACAAAACAGAACATAAATTTGGAGTATTACTACTGAACATAAAGCTGATTTAACGTGATCTCTCCCTCTCATCTCAATGTTTGGAAAGAACTCCTGTACATCTCCTAGTAATTTTAGCTCTGAAGAGAAACAGGAAGATTCAGTGGTGTAGCACACTGCTTCAGTCATGACTGGTTCATGTTTTTGTGGTAAATGCCGAATGTCGCTTAAATGTCATCTCAAGGTTTGTGTACACATTTAAAATATAAGCAGGAATTGATTGAAAATCAATTAGTCAAAAATCGTAGCACCACATCCTATTAATATCCTTAGTATATGTATAAAGGTATTTTTTTGTAACAGCTTATTTTTGTAATATTCATGGCAGAATCTTTTGTAGAATTGTAATCCATGGGGAGAAATTCAGTTAAGGTTTTAAAACGTGTTATGGGTAAGCCCTCCATACAGTGCAAACAAAGCATTTTTCAAAGTTGCTTACTACATGGTTTCTGTGCAAAGAGACTGTGTACAGAGACAGTCATTCTCTGGAGAGGGACTTCCAAGTTTACCTTGGACTAAACACCATGGAGTAATTGCAAGCTTTTGTCACATTGCTGGTTTCCTAAGAGCACTTGTACATGCAGCATATCAAAAAAGTGCCTTAACTTTGTTCTTGCTTTCGGGTCCCTGTGCATGGGGGCATTGTCTCTGTATGCAAGTGTTTAAAACATAATGAACAGCTTCCCCCCCTCAGTGCATCTCTTATTTATAGGTCAGCTGCTATAGGCAAGTGTGGGGTTTGAAGAGATTAGGGGGTCTTATGAGACCAGCTCAAGTGTGAAGTTTCTTAACAGTAACAAATAGGGACTTAAAGCCAGCATTGTTTACGGGGAATAGAACTATGAAGGGCCTTGCAGATGTGGAAAAATATTTCCATTAAAGAAAAAGGGAAATACAAAGATTTGACGACTCTCATTCTTGAAGATGGAAGGCTGTTGTATGTCTTTTAAAATGCATGAGTGATGAAATACTGGTGTCCAGGAAAGAAAATAAAGAGGCCAGATAAGTAGAGTAGCTTTGGGAATAATGAAAGGGAGATATATAGCTATAAATATATATAATTTAAAAGTAAAAACGTTAGATGCAGCCCTTGTTATATAAAGGGCAGAGGGTGTTTCTACTTAACTGTATGGAGCAGGATGACCCACAGTAAGATACACAGTAGAACTTTATGCAAACAAGGTTTGTTCACTTAAGCTGCCTGTACTCAGTTGTTTCTTACTGTGAAGAAAATACTGCGTGTTTCACTGCATTTATGTTTAAGAGACTTCGAAACTTTACTTCATGCCATGGTCTTACTGAATTGCTTAAAATAACAACTGGGGAGTGTAAATGTATATAGCGTGAAATCTTCTGCTGAATTGTGTGCTCTTGTGCAGTGTAGGCTCTTCTAATGAAATTAGATTATAACTTGTGGTATTTGAATTCCAAAGTATAATTGAAGCATTGTGACTGTTTCTTTTGCATGTGAGTTGTTTTTTTTTTAATTGGCAATTAAGAACATTTGTCAGTGAGTGCTGTTACTGACTAATACAGTTCCAAGATTTAAAATCTTACTGCTATTAGAGGCTGAGTTAAATATTTTAAATAAATGAGTTAGTATTTTTATCAAAGTGGTGGTGGGAGCTTCTGTCATTCTTTGTTGGCTTGCTTTGTTTCCACTGGTTCCTGAAGGAGTTCAGAGTCCTCATAGCAAAGGGATAGCAAACAGGCCTGAACAGAGAGCTCTGTTAGGCTCCTGTGTTGGCAGCCCTGGCAGTAAAAGGGAACTGCTGATTAAATTAGTGTGATCATTGACTAGTGAAACAAACAATGACGGGGTGTTAAGGCAGCTAAGAGAGAATGGAGGATGCTCCTGCAATGGGCTTTTTGGAGAGGAAATTGCAGGTTAGGCGGAAAGAGACAAGTCTGAGAGTAATGGAACATAGTGAAGGGTTCAGGAGGAAGCTGGAGTAGATTCCATCTGTGTAGTTACTATTAACTGCTGTTAATGTTAATTATTTGTTACTCTGAAAACCATTTCATCACTGTAACTGTATGGTCAACGCTGGGATGAGAACAGTCTGATCACAAAGGACAGTGAGCTCTCCATGAAACATGTTTTGAATATCCCCCAACAGCAAAGTGTAGATTTAGTGATTCACTTCGCTGTTCCTTGAATATTGGCTGTTTGGATGGCTTTAAAGGAGGTATGGGTTGGCTGGTTTGTTTTTTAAGGAAAACAGAATTGCTTCCAGGATCATTCACATTTTAGAAGTTTTTCTTCATATTTAAAAAAATTGGGAAAAGTAAGTTTCTGTTTTCTGATATTTATAAAAGCTTTCTTTTAAGTTTTATTAGTTCGACTGCCTTCAGACAGGGTTTTAATTCAAAGTTTGCTTTCAAACTTAGAACTTTTAGATAGAAAGTAGCTTTCCATTTACTCAGTGGATTTGGCAGTATTTCTGAGGTGAGTTTTTGTGGATCAGTTGTATAAACATTTTTTTGTGTTTCTCTGTTGCAAGGATCTGTAGTAGAAAAGAAATTGCAAAGTATGTGCTGGTAGAATCACAGTAAAAGATCTGAC